ATTATCAAATTCCTTTTTTTTCAAATTTATTCATTCCAAAATTTATGGGAGAACAAATCCGTGCCGAGAGGCTACAGATATTGGGGGGGGCGGAAGTACGTCACTTCCCTTATGGCGACAAAAAAACCTTCAAAACAAAGAAACAAGGGCTTGTAAATGTGTTGTTTTTATATCGGTAAATAACGTAAGTTTTTCTGATGTATATTCCCCATGAAAAAACACTACATTTACTCATAATATTAACATTTGTGTGTGTGTGCGCACGGCCGCGTCTGCCTATGCGTGTGCGGCTCCGACGCGTGGTGTGCGACTGCGTCGTGTGCGCGCCGTTGCCTATGCGTGTTTAAACAGTCTTTTGTTGCTTAGCCAAACACGAGGACGCATAACCATACATCACACGTGAAAAATAACACACACCCACACATACACAACACGCCCACACACGGATTAGCGCCTACATAAACACCACGCACGCTCCACACATTAAACAGGCACAGACACAGACACAGCCACAGCACAGACAGTACCACACACACACGCGCGCGCCGCACACGCACACACCGCGCACACGCACACACACACACACACACACACTCACACCACACACACCCGCACACGCACACACACACCCACATACACGCGTGCGCGCACGCGCACACACCACACGCACACCACACGCCACACGCACACGCACACGCACACGCACACGCACACGCACACGCACATACACGCACACCACACGCACGCCGCAACGCGCCACGCGCAACGCGCACCGCACAACGCCAACACGCACACGCCACACGAGCTAAGTTTTCTATTATTCCATACAAACACACATTTTACTCATAATATAAAATATAATATCACTATAATTGCAATTATTTGTGTAAATTTTATTTTCATCTCATCTTAAAGTTATGAGAGGCTCTCCTCTCTAATCCTACATAATTATTACGCTACGTACGACTCTACTATAGTCCGTCGCTCCGCGCAGGAGCGTGTGCCGATGTGCGGTGCCCTTTGCGTTTGTGCCGCGCTGGCCTATGCTCGTCCACCGCGCGTATTGTGCGTGCTGTGGTGGCGGTTCGTGCGTGTGCCGTAGCGTGTGCGTGAGTGCGTGCGTGCGTGCGGTGCGTGCGCCCGTGCGGGTTGTATGTATGTATGTGGTGTAATGTTGTACGTGTGATTGTATCGCCGTACCTCTCGTGCTAAACAGCCAATCCAACACGCCTGTTTAAACACACGCATAGTCACACGGCGCACACACGCACCACGCCCACACACACGCGCGCCACGCCACACGCATAGGACACGCGCGCCACACACACAAAAGCACACGCTACGCACCACACACACCACGATCCTCCTACGAGCGAAGCGCTATAGTACGATTACATCTACGTATGCTATATATACGAGAGCCTAGCCCCTCTCAACTTTAATATAAGAGAAAATAACACATTTACACATAAGAATTGCAAATATAGTGATAATATATGTATATTAATGAGTAAAAATGTGTTTTTCAGAACTATACATCAGAAAAACTTTACTTATTAGCCGATCATAAACCAAAACAACACATTACAGAATCCCCTTTGTTCTATATTTTGAAGTTTGTTGAGTCCCACTAAGGAAATTGACGTCACTCCGCCTCCCACCAATTATCCGTAGCCATCCGGCACCCACTTGTTCTCGCAAATCAATTTGAATGAAAAGACATGAATAAAAAAAGGATTGAAATAAGTGACCATTTGGAATGAAAAGTATTGGAATCGAATAAAATGCTATTTGAATGGAACTCGAAAATGTTAAAGAAAATGTATTTTAAATAAAAATGAATTTGGAATGAAAAGAATTTGATACGAAATGAATGAAATGCAAAATAAATTTGAATATGAAAGATGCAATGTAGAATTGAAAACTGAATTGAAATGAAAATGGACATTAAAAATGAAAATGAATTGGAAGAAAAAATGTAATAAAAAATAAATAATAAAAATATCCGTAGCCATCTCTGCCACCACTTATGGAATCGCTTATCAACGACATCACGGCAACCCGTTCACGCGTATGTGAAACATTTAAACGCTTGTAAAATCAGAATCGCCCCACATGCACGCCTCCATCTTATGCGCTCGGCCCTTTTCAAAAATCACCATATTTCCCAGAGATCGTGACTTCACATATTTTTGAAATGCCGCTTCCAGACCGCTTACTCCCAGTCTTTCTACATGTCTCTTAAACTCAAACCCCCTATCGAGCAATATATAACCACGTGTGGTTCATATAATTACTGACATCTTGTCTGCGCCTTACGCTGACACTAACGCACACATTGTACGACAGCCTGCACCGACTACACCCACCTAATGGAATTATAATAACTAGCGTGCCTTCAATCGCTAACAATCGCTGTCACGGAAGTGTCTCCGCGAGCCGAGACAGCCATTACCCATCGTCCGCTACTAACAATATTCACGATTAGAGCAAAACCACCGCCACACGCACACACGCACGCAAATCACGCCACCAAATCCCACGACACACGCAGCGCAAATCAACGCACGCACACGACGCACGCACAATCACCCGCATCGCACACACGCAACGCTAAGATCACGCACGCCACACACGCACGCGAAAGATCACCACGCCACCACGCCACATACATTATGCAGTTACTATGCAGTATGCACGATGCACAAGCACACGCACACGCACACACACGCACACATAATATAATATATATTATATATCGATATATATATATATATATATCGGATATATTTATTTATTTATTTATTTAACGCCGCGCCACGCCGGGCTGCGACTGCCGCTATCATACCTGCCCGAATCATCACGACAGCTCGCACACACACACACACACACACACACACACACACACACACACACACACACACACACACACACTCACTTATAGGTAAACTAATACACCGTAACTTTTACGCATTATTGCAATGGGCGAGCGGCATACGATCAAGTCATACCCGTCTGCAGCGTGTTTCGTCTCTCACTCCCGCTCAGTTCCACAACATCCGTGTGACTACTGCTTGCCTCCCCCGACGGGGAATTCAGACTGATTCGCTGGGAGCGGGAGAAGATGGCGGGGGGGGGGAGTTTCTGTGCGTTTTGTTTGCGCCCGATGGGAAGGAGAGAACGTAATGTAATCCTGCAAAAACGTACCAGGGAAATTATTCCGATAGCGCTGTGCGAGCAGGCGCGGCCGTCTCGCGCCGGCGCGGCGGCCGCAGCGCCCCACCGCCAGACGCTAAGCCAAAAAAAGTGAAAGTAAGTCGAGAAAATAAATATTATATTGAAGCGCGCGCCGTGCGGTCTGTGACCATGTGCCCGTGTGTGCATTGTTGTGTACGCTCTGTGTGTGGTTGCGTCGGCCTCGGCATGATCACTGACTTTCATTTATCTGAATCTCAAAATCATGAACGAGTTTTACGTAATTGCCACCTCTGCACATACAGATAATACGCGCTACAAAACATCCTTTACGCGATGTAGTATTGCCATACCAAGGGGCTACAGTCAAACATGCGTCAAGTTTTTCTTACACATAAGAATGGAAAATAAACGATTAACCAATGTCAAAGACCATACAATACGCTCAAGCAGGTGTTGTTTTCTACCCGACCGAGAAAACTTTCACTACTTATATATACGTAACCCACCAAAGTGGCATTTTTTTTTTTGTCACCGGCTGACAATGCATTGGGAAAAAATCACTACAGCAGACTGCTCGGTTGCTGTTGCTTTTCACAGCGTCTAGCAGCAAGAGCCCATCGCGTGTTGGCTTCTAGCCACAGATGAAATTAACGGTCCAACATGTCTTCGATTCATCCACTGGTGAAATACGAATCTGCACAATACGCGCAATATCGTTTGAGCTGTTCCCTGTTTTTTCACATGATTACAAAACCTTATTATACCACTCAAAGATGACAATGTGCGACAGAGGCAACATATGAACCTCTACGCGATAAGAAATTACTTACGAGCGGAATTCCGTCTCAGCTAAATCGTGAAGCCCCCATATCTTCATCCCAGTACCTCATACCTGATAATCGTCTCTCAAACTATCCTTTTAATCGTTACAGAGCAGCAGGAGGGGTACTACGTTTTTATTTCTATTACTCTTTTGGTAATGAGCTCTTAGCCTAAATGGTAAATATGACGATCTCAATCTGATTGTGTATTTGCGGAGCCGACCATGCCTTTGCGTCTTCTCATTGTACGGGTAGAGGAGCGTCTATAACCGCGTTTCCAAGTAAGAATTATAAAGCGCATATTAAAGAGGTAACGTTGAAAACATCGTAGATAAAAAATAATGCCATTTGTCATATTATCTATATCAATATTTACTTTATTTTCATTTATTATTGAACGCCGCTGAAGTGTCATAATCCGATGCTCCGCTCACGCCTCAGCCACGGGCTACTGCCCGTACGCTAGTTCTTTACACCGCGCCTAGGCAAACCACTGGGTAACCAATCAGAGTCTATGTATTCAGTCGACTTCGCTCTATTATCATATATGCAAATGTGATGATTGTCTCATAATCATTATAGGCTAGCAGTAGCTTCCGGCGTTACATCTCAATTAGTCGTTATTCGAATCCCTTATAGGTTTTTGTTATTTTATCCTGTTTTCTGTATGTTCTATCTATTATCCATTTCCTATTGTTTCTCTATTTAACCAAATATTACATTTTTTTTTTTTAATTTATGTTTCATACATCCATACATTTATGCCACGATAACATTTATGCTCACGCCACACGCAGTTCACACGTATACCTACACGTCACGCACACACGCATCTATCGCACTAAACAACCCCACGCCCCACACACACATTATACACGAAGCATGAGCTATGAAAGCGACGGGTCACCCATCTGTATGCTCGCCTGTATATATCACCCCGCAACAGTCTCTCCTTCGCCACAAGTTGCCTAAACTTTGGGGGACAACGCGAGCACTCAGCTATACCAATTTCGTTTCAATGTAAGGTTAGAGAATAGGTTGAACGAAAACACTTAAACGTGTGCAGTTTCGTTTTTCACGCGCAGTGTTATGGCTATTATTATATACATAATATTTTACTAATAGATATGTTTCTACGTTGTGTATGTGGTCGTGTGTGTTGTGTGTGTCGTGATTGTGTGTGTGTCGTGTGTGCTGGCTGTGCGTGCCGGTGCGTGCTACGGGCGTCGGCGTGCTGGGTAGGCGTTGTGTGTGCTTTGCTTTGGTGTGCCCCCACGGCTGTAGTATATATACGCTTATATTAAGCTATGTATATTATGTATATATATACTATATATATTATATATATATATTATATAGAGAACAGACGACGAGAGAGAGAGAGAGAGAGAGAACGAGCGAAAAAGAGCAGCAGATAAATATCTTATATATTTCAGTGAGATTCCTGGCTTCGTCTTCAGGCATTAACTGCTTCGGGTATCGTTCCTGCTGCGCGTGCGCCCGTCGCCGCCTGCTGCCTCGCCTCGAATTCTGATGAGCATGATAAAAGAGGATACGTTATAGTGCCGAGCTCCGCCGCATCTCCTCATCCCCCTCAAGGCTAACAATGCGAGATGATCATCCTACTACCCATTAAATCTCCTACTTTCAGCGGTTGCCCGCTGGCGTCGTTCAAGCTGTCCTATCGCTGCCTCAGCGCGGGCCTTACTCGCTGCTGCCTGCAACGCGGCAGCGCCGCCGATTCCGTCTTAGCCAATCGCATGCACGCTCCCTTCCATGCGAGCCGCACTACACTGGCGCTCTTCAGCGATTCTGATGTCGGTGTCAGGCATTCCAAACTACTAGTTCAGCAGGTGACGTAGTACGCTTCTTACTGGCGTGCTTCTTTTGCACAGCACTGCGACAGGCCTTTGACTGAAGCGCGGTAGAACACCGCGGGCACTTCTCCTATAGGCAGATGTATTAACATATGTAGTTAGGAATCGGAGATATAATACAATATATATTACTAATATATACATAATATACTATTATATATATAGAAAATAAATTAAATAAAATTATTATATTAACTATATATATATAGGATATATAAATATATATCTGAAATTGCCAGTCTAAAGCGATAAATAACCTACATGATCCAGTTAGTAAACATTTAAATTCATCAACTATGCAAAACTTGACCGTTTCTATGGTGGCACAACGAAGACCATGTTGTACCCATTAAATCTCCTACTTTCAGGGCTGGCCCGCTGCTCGGTCAAGCTGTCGCCTAGCGCTGCTCAGGCGGACCCCTACTCCCTCTGCTGCCCGTGCCACGCGGGCAGCGCGATTCCGTGTAGCAGACGCAGCACCCGCCTGTTTGACCATGGCGAGCGCTCAGTACCACTGGCGCCTCTTCAGACGATATCGGTTGCCATCAGGCTTTCCAACTACTAGGCTTCATCAGCGTGAGCTACTACGACTTTCTTAGTGACCTTCTCTTGCGCCAGCAGGCACTGCACAGCCTGTGTGCCCTGGAAGTGAACGGCGAGTAGCGAAACACCGCCGCCACTCCCGTATAGGCGACGTGCTGCTAGCTATTAGTAGTTAGGATCGATATATGCATAAAGATATAGGTAATATATCATAAATATATATCTGGAAATCAGTAAAAGCGATAAATAACTACATGATCAGCCTATTAATCATTTAACATCATCAAACTATGCCAAAAACCTGACGTGTTGTCTACGTGAGCAGATCATCGTGCCCACAGAGAAGAGTCGTTCCGGCCATCACCCAGACCCGCTATTCCGGACGCATTTCGGACGAATTCGACATCAACACATCGCGAACGCTTCTCGAGCGCGGCCAACTTCGAGCGTTCCGACCTTCGCCCCGACCGTACTGACACTCGGTCAGTTTGACTTCGCCGCCCGCAAGGAGCGGCCTTGCCCCGCTCCAGGAACTCCCGCTGAAGGAGAGCCTTCGCCAGCAATTCTATATACATATACATAACACCAGGAGCTAATAATGACAAATAATTTAAATTAACTTGCACACGTTAAGTGTTCGCTCAAACACTCTTCTCTAACACTTACATTGAAAACGAGTTGGTATAGCTGTAGTGCTCCGTTGTCCACCAAGTCTTAGGCAACTTGTGCCGAAGGAGAGACTGTTGCGGGTATATATACAGGCGAGCATCACTGGTGACCTGGCCTTCATAGCTCTGTTTGTGTATATGTGTGTGCGTGGGCGTGGTTCAGTGCGTACGTGCGTGTATGCGTGCGTGTAGGTATGTGTGTGAACGCGTGCGCGTGAGAATGAATGTATCGTGGGCGTTGGGGCGAGTGTGCGGGCAAAAATAGATACCAGAAAATAAAACTTCAGCAGAGTCTATACAAGTATAGTGATTAAGGTACACTTTAACATCATTTGGGCACTCACACGTACACCATTATATCATGAGTCTATCAATATAGACATTATATACAATATAGACATATAGACAATATATAGTCACCATTATATCATGAGTCTATCAATATAGACATTATATAGAATATAGACATATAGACAAGAGCGGATAATACCTATAGGTAAATAATAGGTATTAATAGGCGGATAATAGGCGGATTATAGGTATTATCCGCTCTTGATATAGACAATATAGTCACCTTTATATACATATGACATACATTACATATTACATACACATACGCGCACACACACACACTTAAATTTAAATAAATATAAACACACTAATAAATGCAAGTGTTGAGTAGTTAAAATGATAAATTACAGTGATACAGTACAAAACAGTGCATACAACATGAAAAAAAATAGAAACCAAAAAAAAAACTTCAGAAAAGTCTGTACAAGTAAAGTGATTAAGGTACCATTTCGACACTCATACGTACACATTACATACATTTCATCAAGAGTACGTAATAGGAGATCTCCTATTATGTACTCTTGATTACATATTACATATACACACACAGACAAACACATTTATATAAATATAGACACATATATTCATTCAGAATGCAACATTGTTCTTCTATCTGCTATATGTTGTTAAAATTGTATTACATTTTGTATGTGCATTTTTTATGTGCTTTTTTTATGTGCATTTTTTTATGTTCTTTTTAGTGAAGGCTTTCTTTTTGTGTCTATTGGTAGTTTTTTCCATTGGTTTATTGCCTCTTTAGTGAGAGAGTTGTGTCCATGCATATTACTTGTTGCTATTTGTTTTAATTTAAGTGTCCTTGAATTTAATGTAATATTTGTCAGGTAAGGTAGGGGATTATTTCTAAGTGGTTTGTTTAGATGGTGGATGTATCTGTATATAAATATAACTGTGTGGTATTTAATTAGGTATACTATTCGATTGGAGGTACTTTTAGTTCTTCTCTAGTTCTAGTAGCTGCTCCTGTCTGTCTCTGCGATGTAGCGTTTTTTGGGGAATAACCTGTTATAATGCGTAGAGCATAATTCTGTAGTGTGTTTAGTCTATCTAAAGCTGATTTGGAGAAATTTATAAGCAGAGTAGATCCATATATGAGATGCGACAGGCAGAGTGACGAGTATATTTGCAGCTTTGTGGTTGTGTGTAGTTGACCCCGTATCTGTCTGAGGAAGCTAATATACTTGTACTCATCTTGTCTACTGTGTAGTTAGTATGGTCATTCCACGTTAAATGCTGATCTATACATACATACCTAAAAAATTTACTGTTCTCGATTGTGGTATCGAGTTGTTACTTATTTCCAACTCAATTTTGTTAGTATCCACAATTTTATTACTGTTGGGGCAAAATAGGATGAATTCTGTTTTGTCTAGGTTCATTTGTAAATTATGGTAATCGAATCTGTTTAATTTTTTCCACATTCATTTGCAGTGTATTAACAGCTTTATTTGGATCTGAATTTGTGGCATATATACATGTATCGTCAGCATATTGGGCCAGTTCACATTTTTCGAGTATGTTTGGTATATTGTTGATGTATATGCAGAATAGTAACGGTCCCAGTAATGTCCCCTGCGGGACTCCTCTAACAATAGCCCCCCCCCATTCTGATGTGGTGTTGTTAATTTTCACTCAATCTTTTCTGTCTGTTAAGTTATTTATCAATGTGTCAAATCCTATTTGTTTTTGTTTTTAAAGCAATGTTTTGTGGGATATGCTCTCAAAAGCTTTGCTTAAGTCAAAAAATGCGGTCGCTACAAATTTGTTATTGTCCAAATTGTGCCTCCAGTACTCTGTGGTCGTGATTAGTGCGTCAGTGGTACTGTGATTTTTCCGAAAACAAATTGCTTTTTGTATAGTAAGGAGTTTCTTTCTAGGCAACCGCAGATTTCAGTGTATAATACTTTTTCTAGTAACTTACCGAAACAATGAACTATTGAGATAGGCCTGTACGTAGTTCTCTGGATTATCTATCTCCTTTTTTATGTACGGCCGGGTGTGACGTTAGCAGTTTTGCACATTTCAGGAAATTCACTCCTTATGATAATTTGGTTACATATGTATGTGATATGAGGTGTAATGATATTTTTACTCATCATTATTACTGACATGGGTATTTCTGAAGGACCAGACGACTTTTTCGAGTTCATTTGTTGTAAAATGTTTAATATTGTCACTTCACTAACAGCTTGGAATGAGAATGATGTGTAGTATATGCTGACTTGAGCAATTTTTTTATGTTCTGTAGATAGTGGAGGAATGGGGTTACTAAATTTACCCATGTCTAAGAATTTTGAATTTAATATGTTGGCTATGTCTTTTAAGTCTGTGGTGATAATGTTATTAGATTTGATTTTACGTATATGGCTCCTTTTATTTCCACATCTGTTAAGCGTTTCATTAATGAGTTTCCATTTATCTTTTGGTGATTTTGCCTCATTACTTTTGTTTTTGTAGTATTTGTTTTTTTGCCTTAAAATTAAGGTTATTAAATCGATTTCTAATTTTTGTGTAATCAACATAATCTTCTTGTTTCATGCTGTTAATATCTTTTCATGCGCTT